TTTATACCAGGATTATATACCAGCCTTTGACTTAGCTTTCCAAGTAGTTCAAGCACTGCAATCATGATTTCCTTGTCAGTACAACCTGAGTAGACTGAGTTACATTCTGACATGATGCTCTTTTTAGGTATCCCTGGATCTCGAGTCGGCAATGCTGAATGAGGAGACAGACATTCCAGTGTACTTTGCCCTGGAGTCCCCAGAAGTGATGGACATCTACTGGGAGATGCACCATGGATCCCTGGCAGATTCCTCCCCTTCTGCTGCTCATGGTAAGGGTCCCAGGTTCTGTTACCTTTTATACCACTAGTTCATCAGTTAGGTTAGGATATCTCTTGCATTGCAATATCCTATCTAGTAGGTGAGTGAATTCCAAATGGTCTAAGCAGGAAACAAACCCTACAGTGTAATGTTGTGATTCCTGATTTTTGTTACTCCATTGAAGTAAGTGTGTGACTTGAGCTTTTCTTACACATGCCATTCACAGGGGACAGTTTTTCTACTCCAAAAAACATTCACTGCTAATAGCAATGTGAGAAAAAATAAAAAACATATGCTGAAAGGGGAAAGGATTATAGAGGCAGACTTGACAATGTTTTCAAGCAAGAATGTGGAATGTCAATCCATGCTTAGTTGAAAAGACAAGGTTTTTTTTTTCCCCCTCTATTTTATCCTTTTCTCCGACTCTCAAATGGAAGCTGGAAGTGGACCCTCATTGATTCTGATGAACTTAATACCAACCTCCCCTTCTTTCTCTCACCATCTCATCATGCACAAATCCTTTCCCTTTCTTCTCTCTAATGGGGATTCCTGGGATCATATATCTTGCTTATAATGCTCAAAATCGAGGGGAAATGTAGTGCTGTCCTCACTTTTATTAGATTGGACTCCTTGTTTTGGGATGAAGCCTTCACAGTTGTCCACTATATTACTGCTTTGACTTGTGATATGTGAGGAAGTTGGTCAGGATGTGAAATTATTCTCAAGAAAAATTTATTGTTGTGGATGGTATCTATGCACTGACTGTGGTCTTTGCTCATGCTTTTTCCAGCTCTCATGCAAGCAGTGGTATCCAGTGGGTATTCATTGCATACAGCAGGATCTGGAAGCAAAATCATCAACAATGCTGAAATTGCCAGCATTCAGGTAAGGACTGTGCTGCATGAGCGGCTTCCCAGTTAGAATCCTTTTTTTTTTATCTCTTTTCTTCCTTTAATGCTACCACCAATGTATCATGAAGTGGTACTGGTATCTTCTGTAGAGATTGATCATGTCGTACTTCAGGGTTTTCACTAATTTTATTGCCTTAAGGGTCCCCAGGACCTTATAAGAAAGAAAGGGTCACTCAGAGAAATTTGGGGGTCCCATCACAATTGAAGCATGATGAAATCTTGCAAAGTTGTAAAACAAAAAGTTCCCAATCCCACAATGTTTTTTCTTTGATTTAACATTACCACAAGCATGATATTCAATCCAGCAGCCTTAGGACTACTTCCAACATTTTCTCTTTGACAAATATCCTTAGGGCATCTTCAAATTTGCAAATGACAAACTTCTGCATGTGATGACTGCCAGATGCCGAGTAGGGATTTTTCTCATTTGCATTTGAGCAAAAATTGCAGAAAGCTCTTCCATCTCTAAAGGAAAGCCAGGAATACATGTTGACCCACTCCTTTTTCATTTTTTGAATCTTTATTCCATCATTGTGGTTCATGGTTCACAAGCTGCCCATTTTCATAATTGCCCACATCCATCTCTTTCCCTTTGTTTTGACTATGTCAAAACTAGGTCAAAAAAGGGAATATCACCTATGACAATATTCCCTTCTCTGTGCACCCTAAGTGGAACTATGACATCACCTTTGTTTAGAATTTAGACCTACGCTGTTGATACCTTTCTTTATGTGACACTAGGCCCATGTTCAGGAACACCTGAATGTATGCCAATGTGTGATTCAAATAAACTAACATCATACATATTCCTCTTGTCACTGAACAAGAAGGGTGTTGGCCAGTCTGCCCTGAAGTCTTAATTGAAACGAACAGAAATACATTATGAGCGCATGAACACAATGCAACACACGTCGACACACGTGCACCTTCCTTGGCAAGGACTTCCACCCCCCCCCCCCCTCTTGTCACTAATATGGTTGCACATAGGTTTATTTAGGCATGGTTCTAAGAGGCAACTGCCAACTGGTCTGAAAACCAGTCAGAAAATCTAGAAATTTCCTGCACATCCTTGGGACCCCAAGGTTTTTCTGTTATGTCCCATTGGAATTTTGTGCATATAGGATGCACATTTGCACATAACCACAAGTTTTTGTATTTGATACTCTTTCTGACTGTTAATTTCAATAAGCCTTGAAGCAAGTTAAAATCCCTGAAGAAAATCTGTCAACCTTTCAAGTCTTCTTATAATTCTATGAAACAGTTCTTTAAGACTTTGTTTCTGCTGCATGGGTATAAGTTTATCATGGGACTCTGTATCATTATATTATTGAGATATGATATCTTAGTATCAAGTGAGTTTGATATATGATGGTGGGAGAACCAATGCTGATGAGACATTTAAGTAGGTTTATCTTCATTTCAGGGGAGGTTGCCAGCAGAGACCGGGGAAAATGTTCCCACGATTGCCATCATCGCTCATTATGATTCCTTTGGCATGGCCCCTGTGAGTGCTTCTATCCAGAGCTAATAATTTTTTTCCTTCCTCATTATGGTGTGCATTGTAATAAGGGTATTGGATGCCTGCTGTAGTTTTGGGTGCTGAAGCTGAAACTTTGATAAATTTTCAGTATTGAAGTGACTCTATGTCTTGGGTAGTTCCTGAAATGGCATTTTGTTTTTCCAGCATGGGTTCAAGTTTATTTTCAATTTCAAATTTCCAATGGCTGCAATTTCCTTAGACCATTTTACAGTACATTGGTCAGGCATTGGGTGATGGAGAGGATGTACTGGCACATCTCTAGTTGAGCTTGGAATCATTTTGTTTATGTTCCAGTTTCTCCTTTAGTCTCTTTAGCAGACAGAGATTTTTTTTCCCATTCTGTTTATTCTTATCCAGCATCCTCTTACCTGTTCTCTTGGAGTGTTCACCTAAGTCAGTGAGGGTTTTTATGGTCACAACTTGTGTAATGATTTTCCTCATATCCTTCAAAGAAATTCAAGATTCAACTATTCTCATCTTTTTTATATGGACATTTTTTTAGAGTAAAGTCAGCTGTTAAGATACTTATACCTGAACTACCTTGGAAAATTATTCAAAGTATGAAATTATGTAAACCTAATTTTAATGAGAATATTTTAACAACCAGGTTATGATTGAGCAGAGACAAAGAACGAAAAAAAGGCTATTCTTTTGCTGTGAGTGTGAAGAGGAAGAGCCTCAACTGGGTGGACATCACTACATATGGAATATCTTACATATGTAGTGATGTCATGGAAATAGAGGTGAAGGAAGAGGAAGTAAAGGGAAAGACTTGACAATGCAGAAAATTTTCAGTCATGGAAGTCATGAAAGGAATTGACAACAAGATGACTTGGCAGTATGGCTTATGAATCTCAAAGCCCCAAAAAAGTTATGAAAAACTGAACTTTAAGTGCTGAGAAAGCACAAGGAGGCATCAGCTCAAATGATTTACACTTTTATAGAAAGTGAGTGGGGGGGGAGAGTAATCCAACTGCATTCTCCTTCCTTCACAGACCATGCGATTGGAATCACTTTCTCAGCCAAACCCTTAATACTATCCATGCTAATGCATAAATCTCACCATATCACATTTCCACCAATTGCATTTCCTGCCTTGCCTAGCATTTTCTCTAATTTCGCAGATGCACTGTTGCTATGATTCCTTTTAAGAATGGACCAATTTACTATGTGAAAAATTAATTTAAATTCCTAATTCCTCAATGTAAACTTATTTGTTTTCATGAAGTTGTAGCTGCGAGTGTCATTTTCAGTCCAGCTCTCATTAAGCATTTCAATTCCCTGCTATAGCTCTCTTTGCTTTTTGCATTTTATTTCACTTAGGTTGAAGCAGGTAATAAGCAGGGTTCACACTAGCTTTTTTAAATCTTGAGTCCTGGTGCCTAGCTTCAGCTCAGTGGGAACATGTTCTGGTGGTTGTCAATGGGTCCCACAGACTCAGATGTTTTGCAAATATGAGTCCCTCCAAGAAAATATAAGTCAGGGGCTTGCTATTGCAAGTTTACATGAACCCTGATAAGTCATAGGAGGTAACCAGCAAATGTTTTGAAAACTTCAAGAAAAACAAGCTTCTCTTTCCTCAAGTTCATTTTTATTGCTTGTACAGACTTTTGGAGAACTTGGGTTATAGTTGTGTTGCTTGATTTTGCTATGCATACAAATTAATTTCAATTAAAATTGAACTATGATTTTAAACAAACATCAATTCCTGGAATTACATTTTTTGTGATGCTGTATGAAAGTCTCACATTTATGACAAAATTGCAATGGGAACCTAAAATTGACCCAAAAGATGTGCAAAGTTATCCTTTCAAAGAGAATGTTATTCTGGAAAACTCCAGCCCTTTTGATACCTTCAGTTTGCTATCAGAAATTGACTGTAATCTCAGGGACATAATTGCACCATTCTATGGTGATGTGTCAGAATAAATTGAGGACTTATATGCAAGAACATGTGCCAAGAGCATTTATGATTGGATTTCCATTCTGGAAAGCAGAAAAGCTCTTTCCCTTCAGTTTTTGTCTTGATTGCTGAGTATCTCTGCCTGCATATCCCCCATTTGAGTAATATATATACATACAGGGCTCTAATTAACTTTGTTCCATGCAGGACCTGTCATTTGGAGTTGATTCAAATGGATCTGGAGCAGCAATGCTGTTGGAGTTGGTGCGCCTGTTCTCTCATGCATTTGAGGATATGGGGAAGAGGGCCCCAGCAAACATCCTCTTCCTTCTCTCGGGGGGTGGAAAGCTGAACTTCCAGGGCACGCGGCGGTGGCTCGAGGATCAGCTCGATGGTCTCGAAGGAGGTCTCCTTCAGGTCTGGCTTCTCCCTTTTTAGTACCCACAAACTTGTAAGTACTTCCAATATGGCATTCTAGAAGCAGGAAATTCCCTCCTGTACTGAGAGCAGAGTTGTGTTTGCTGGATTACTTCCCAATAGCCCTTCCCAATTACTTAGAGTGTGTTTTTGTGAAGGAAAAGCTAAATTTTGCCATACTCCTCATAAGGACTTGTATTCTTATTGAGTGGTTTGCATATTCTACCCCTATTCAGGAATAGGGCATGTCAAAAAAATCTAGAACTGTCTTCAGAACAGGAGGATTAACTGGCAAACAGACTCCCTTTGAGTAGTTGATCAAGGCAGTTATAAATGCAAGCAGCAATGCAGCCAATTCCATTGTTATGGTCACCTTCAATAGGTCATTTTTATGGCTATGAAGGAAGATTCCAAGACTTGAATGATTAAGCATTCTGCACAGAAACTGCAATCTGGGAAAAAAAAGAATGAGGATGGATGAAATGCTTCTCTATTGTTTTATTCTCAAAGGAATACTTGTTTCTAATTTGTCTATCTGTGTTGATTTGTGATATCCAGGAGGTGGGGTTCACGTTATGTCTGGACACTGTCGGTGGGGCTGAGGATTCCCTCTTCCTTCATGTATCTAAACCTCCCAAGCCAGGCACTCCTGCTCATGAATTCCTAACTGTGAGTTATATCAGCTTTGCCTTTCAAATGCTACAAGAAATGCATAAAATTTGTCATTCATATGTAATTTATGCAAGACATGTTCTGAGCACATTTATGTGGGAAATAAGGGAGGCACAGGCTTATTTGAATCCATTAACAGGAAAGGAGTTTACAAGGATTTTTGATCACACGTAATTTTTTCAGGTTTTGGAGGACATAGCCAGTCACTTGTACCCGAGCGTGAATGTGAGCATCGTACACCGGAAGATCAATCTGAATGCCGAGCAGCTGCTGTGGGAGCATCAGCGCCTGAGCTTGCGTCGCATCCCTGCATTCACCCTCTCCGGCCTCCAGGTGAGTCGCATGACTGGATGCTTTCCTCCCTTCGTCCTCAAGGACTCGTGCATGAGTCAGGGCTTGGGGGAAGGTGACTCGGTAGTTGGGCGTCTTGTTCTGCATTGCACATGGATGATCCATTGCTAAATGAAATGAAAGGAATTTCTCCTGAGTTCCTTCCCCATGCTTCTTCAGCAAGAGAGTAGTGAGGATTCACCCTTGAAATGAATCATTCCTTGGAATTGAAATGCTACCTTCACCCAGATACATATATCATATTTTTTCATGTCTTCTTGGGGAGGTCTTGCAAGACTCCTCCATTTGATTTGATAAGTCTTGCTCTATGCCCCGGGGGCACTCTTTATACACATAATACTTTATAATCTTAGATTCTTGTTCTACCATGGTAGGAATAGGTTATCCCCTGTCTTACTCATGGTGCAGGTGCATGTGCCATATACTGCCATTAAATAATTATTAGCAGAAGGCCATTTGGGTTCAGGCTGATTCAGTGACCATAGTATCTTTGGCATTCTTGCTTGAAATATGAGTTTTTTGGTTTGAAGCACTCACTATGTAGGTGGAAGAAATGTATTAATTGTCATTAATGGAAAAATTACTTTGGTGTTATGTTGCAGATGTATGAAATTAAAGCAGTACTAGGAGAAATCGAAATAAAATTTTGAGTTAGTATTGGAAGTAACAGACTAGGTCTTCTTTGCCTTTTTTTCATTCAAGGCATGGAAGTCTATTATTATTACAGTCTTGGAAGCAAATAAAAGAACGTGGGACCTGACGATGAAGTGCAAAGAGATTGGGTGGGGGAGTAGCCAAGTGCTCTTGGCCCATGACCCTTAGTCTGCAGGGAATGGGGGCTGATCTTGAACTTGACATTAATCCTTTCAGCCCTGAATTAAGGCCACTATCGGAATAATATACTTTCTTGCATTTTTTTTTAGCTCTTTTCCCGTTCTACTTTAAATTTTATGTTCTATATATCGTTTTTATATTTTGTATGAATTTACCATATCATACCATGTATTATATATTATGAAACATTACATAACTGAAGATTACCAAATTTACGGGTGAGAGAAGGCCTCCAGTGTAATGGAGCCATGGATAACTGAGTCCATTGCAGTGTAATATGTGGCGCAAAGTCATGAGAATCCCAAGAAATTACCATAGAAACAAGGCAAATGCTATGTCCATTGGAATGGACGCGCGGTCTGAAAAGGTTAAGGGTCTGTCCACAGTGTCGGATGTGACATTCGGAGTAATATTCTTAGTATACAAAATGTATTTAACTATGTTATGGATGACGAATCAACACATAAAGGCTGTAACACTTTTCTTTGGGTGGTGACTGAAAATTACATAATCCAAAGACTCTTACGTTAGAGGTGTACCTCTGTACAAAGAAAAGTGTCAGACGTGACATTTCGTGAACCTCAAGTTAGTCACTTGCACTAATGTTCACATATCTGTCATCGAGCAGATCCTAATAATTTAGTTTCATGTTCATTCTATAGATTGAATGAACGCTTGAAATTAGTGTAAGTAACCCCAAAATGTCAACACTTCAAACAGAATGTAAGCCTATTTTGTGACGGTATCGGATGTCTGTACATATATATATTTATTTTATTTTAAAGATATCATTCAAATGTGAATAATTGACATCTACTCTTTCCACCTGAGCTTATTTGAAATTATCAGCATGCATGGAAAGCCCATGCTGGCATCTGTTCCAGTAGTCTAATTTAGTCTCTCCAAATTTGCATTTTCATCACATTTTTCAGTATCATGAGATTGGTCTGAATAATATATACGAGTATCATAATCATGACTAATTCTTTCATTCTCCAATGTAATATTCTCTTTCCTTCTTTTGGGGAAAAGAGATGATGAACTTCCGTAGCGAAAGTAATACTTGCATACTTAGGAAAATTTCCGGCTAAAAATTCTAGGACCACTTGGCGTGGACAGACCCTTAAATAAAAAGTTGGATCGACTCGTGCGGTTGAGCCTCCTAATGGAGAACTCCGACCTTCACTAAGATGAGCCCCAAGGCCAACCGGTGAAGCGATCCCAGGGTGCCAGTCGTCAACACGGGCCCAAGGCCCTGCACATCCAGTCGGTTCCGCCGCATCCTTCCGTTTCCGGGGAATTTCTGCCTCGATCTTTGGGGGGCTGGAGCCTTCTTCGAGGTCGCTTGCACTTTTATTCCATAGACTTCGCTCGTGTTCTTCCGGTTCGTGTTGCGTCCTTGAGGCGCATGCTCTGAAAGAAATCCCGAGCAAAGTGGATTTCCGAGAACGAATTCGATTGGGTCCTCTCCGGATGAGGCGGGTCTTGCCCTTTATGTATTCATCGTTATTTTATTATTTTAGTTGATCTGCGTTTTTCTGGATATTGCGCTTGGATATATGATAAAGGAGAGGAAATGATGTAAAGGAGAAGAAATTGCAGGATTTAAAGAGTGGGTCCAGTTGGCAAGAATCTATCCTGAATACTTCTGGAAATAGGGAAATTAAGTCCCACCCAGCATTTGTCCCGAGTGCTTTCAATTTCCTCTGATGTGATTGTACCATGATATTTATCGTCTTGGGGTTTCTAAGTAGCATTTTCGGATTGGAGCCCCTGCCTGAAATGATTTGCGGGTGGCAATTTATTTCTCGTGACAATTCCTTATTTTATTTGGGGAGGGGGGAGAGAGAGGTGGGTGTCGTTGGTTCATCTTTTGACCGTTGAAAATGGGTTTCGATATCTGAACCCACGTTATACCCTTGGTGTATTCATTTATTTATTATTATGGTTTTTTATCTCTTGAGTGCGGTAGGGAGGGTGGGGAACTGAAACCAGTTTTTGTTGCAGATTTCAAAGCCAAAGGCTCGAAAGGACTGACAGGAAACGTAAACATTCATGGGAGACTTTATTAAAAGAGCGGAGGTCGGAATGTTTTTCATCATTGGCTGGACGTGAGTGGCAAGAGAAAGTTGCACGGACGGGTCACTGGCGGCCGCCGCCGCCGCCGTTCTTCCCGCAGACCTGGGGGTTCCCGCCGAACCGGTAGAGGCAGGCGATCTCCTCGTAGAGGAAGTAGTGTCGGTTGCGGAGCTCCGCCATGAACTGCTTGCCCTTGGTCTGGACCGAGGAGCTGGGGCAGAAGGGGTAGATGGTGCCCGTGGGGTCCCGCGAGCACACGTGGGAGTTCATCATCCCGGGCATCAGACCTGGTGAGGCACGGTCGGGTTAGCGAGAGAAGGGAATCCGCGAACGGAACTTTTAAGTTGAGATCGAGGCTGAGAATGTTTGTAACGGGAGAAAAAAAAAAACTAAATAGAACTATTTTTAAGCGTCATCAAACCACGCAAAAAAATGATGCCCTTAAAATTTAATTTAAAGATGAAGTCCGCGGAAATAAATTATAGCAGGCAGGAATATGAAAATGGATGCGCATACGTCTCATCTCGTATCCGATGCAATCCTGACACTCGGCCTTCTTGAGGACGCAGAGCTTGTAGCTCTCGACCTGGGCCTCGTTCTTGAGCAGTTCCTGGAAGTCCTCCTGGGTCTTGGTCTCCAGAGTCCCGTAGCAGGGATGCTCCTTGAAGTTGGCCTTCTTCGACCCGGCGGCCTGGGGCCTGCTCTCGACGGCCAGCACCAGGGCCAGGGCCAGGATCACCACGGTCGTAATCGCGCTCTCCATGTGTGTGTGTGTGTGCGCTGGGGAGTTTCTAGTCGCCCCCTTTAAATACCTGAGGGAAGGAGGACAGGAGGATGAGTGGATGACGTGGGCGGTCAGAGGAAGGTGGATGGCGCGCGCGGTCGTTTGAGATTGAGATGTGGTGGGTCGTGTATCACCCTTGGTTTCACTACACATCCATCGACACTTGTTCGTTATCGGTCCGTATGTGTGAAAATGTTGTTTTACTGAGAGGTAAAATGAAACTTTTATGAAAGGGGAAATCATTGATAAATATGAATTTAATTGAATGCCAAATGTTGAAAGGGATTTTTTAAATATATCTGTTTAAAAAAATCTTTCCGGGAAAAAAAAATCTTTAGAAAAAGGTTTGAATTAAAAGAAAGGTTTGAATTCTCTTGGTTAATACTTCCTAAGTTCAAGGTTACAGAAGAGGGCAAACCGGTGGTGACGGTGGAGGGAAGGCGGAGAAAAAGTCACAGCGACACAAACCGAGACGAGATCCGCAAGGCGAATGAGAGCGAGGGAAACGGGGAAACCCGCTTTTAATAGTGCCTTGATTTTTTTTTTTTCCCCTGAAGGCGGTGCGTCGATCTTGTGCACTTTTCGCTGTCTCATTCTTCGAAGAAAAGAAGAAACGAGAGGGAAAAAAATTATCCTAATAACCCCCCTCAGAGGAGGGGAGAGGAAGGTGATGTTATGTGGAAATCCCTTACGCATTCACCGCCGTTTCCGGCCGCGTTCAAGGTGACCGACCGGGTTCTGCAATCAGAATAGTCACTCCTTTAATTTTTTCCCCCTCCCAATGACCCGTCCGTTTGTCCCAGGTCGGACATCCGGGACTCACGATGAGCATTTCAGATCCGGAAATATCCACGGAGTGCGCAGAACAGAGTATTGCATTCTTATGCTTTTGTTTTATTATTCCCAGGAATTTTTAAGCCGGTCTTTTCCCCTTCTTTTACCTTGGATTGGTTATTTTCCGTGTTTTCCGTATTTCCTGCGCTGAACGGCGCAGAATTCCATGAAATATTCCGCCTCAATCTTGCCCAGGGAGTGGGAATTTTTCATTATTATTGTAATAAAAATTAGAAATCTGAGCACGAGAGGAACAGGATTCTCAGTTCCACCTAGCCGACGCTAGATGGCTCTGGTGTGACCCCGAAGGCTGTTGGTTTTGGTCAGCGATGGGGTCGTAAGAGTCCATCGAATCGGGCAGCTTCCGAGCTTAAATGTGTTGACGGCTGAGTTTTTCTGGCCGGAGTCGCGTCCCCTTCTCGTTGCTGCTTCCGGCGGATTCGTATGACGTCACGAGGCGTGTCAATTTGGCGGTGGGAAGATAGCACAGATGACGTTGACTTCGCGCGCAAATTCACGAGAGTAGGCGCAGAGCCACAACAGCTGGACGACACGAGCAGAAGCAGGTAGCAGCTTGTGTCGAGGGCGACCAAACCAGTTTTTTATTTTTATTATTTTTTAAATGTATATACTTTTTTCATGCGTCCAGTTGAAGGCGAGCCTGGAACCTTGACCGAATTGTCTGTCTCGCTCCCAGGTGAATTAATGCGGACTGCGGTCTCGCCCGTGCGGGTTGCGGTGCGCGTAATGGGTCACGGGGCGTTTGAGAAACGGTGCCTGGCTAACTGTCAACAGTTAACAGGTTGAAGGACGGTTGCGGACGGCGAACTCGATCGCGAACGAAAGTTGATGAGACGTATGTTAGCGTCCATCAGCGCATTCATTTTATGTGGCACTTCGTAGTAGGCAAGAGCAACGGTCTTGCGTGTCGAGGATGGAAAGGGACCCGAGGAATCGAAGGAATCTGGTTGCTTCCATTGCACAAAAAAGTTCAACATGTTTGAAATTGAGACCGCAAATCATCGGTGATTCAACGTTTAATCACTGGTTTTCAGCATCCATTCAACAGGAGTTCAACAGTGGTCACCGTTGATTCACCATTGACATATTTGTATGGGTTGCATGCACGATGCGTTTTGATTGACTGCTGGCTGCCTGGAAAACTCGTTTCCTTCTGGTTCAACTTGAAGCTGCCGTCTTGGAAAGTGCAATCGAGGGAAAATAAGGGTAAACACCCCGGTTTTTGGCCACGCTGATGGGATTCCCATAGGAAGTGGACACCCCCGTGCGCACACCGGGAAACACTGGTGATAGGTCCTCGTACGGGGAGATGTTGGTAGAATGCTTGAAAACGGCCAGATTAACCAATCATGCTGGATTTAAGCTTCACTCGCTGGGGACCGGCCAGAAACCGCAGTGTTTACCCCATGTAGAATCGAAGCAGGATTAAATTTTGATATGCATGCTCTTTTTTTTAAAGCGTCGACGGCCTTCTGTCTCCAGTTTATTATTATTATTATTATTATATGTTTCTGGTACGCCTGTAATATCTTATACTGCATCTCTCGTGCACGTCGCATCGACTGAAAGGTCAGGAGGGGGATGAAGGTTTACAGGTTATTTATCGCTTCCAGTCTGGTGGGGGGGGGGGTTTCTCCCCCTCGTTTACTGGTTGTGAGGGCGTCCGTCTTCTGTCGCTTTCGTCAAGGCTTCTGTGTTCTTGTTTACACTTTCACTCAATTTTTCTTTCTTTTTGGGGGGGAGGGGAGGGAGGGGGTGGGTTGTGGGGTGGTTCAGGGACGCATCGTAATGATGGACTGTCCAATTTTGAAATTGTTATCTTTAAGGAAGTATTTCAAATGACATTAAAAACCTTTTTGTATGTTTTTTAAAACTTTTTTTCCATTTGCGCGGTCGTTTTTTTTTATTTTCCCCTTTCATCAGGAAGGTCAGTTTTAACCTCAGATATAAAAAAAGATATAAAAATGTAGGATGGGTCCGTTGGCACGATTCCCAGTCAAGCCAAGGACGACCGTTTCGGCGCGGTTCTTGCAGTATCACTGCGTTCAATGATGCTCGCCATTCGATTGTGTAAGAGTTCCTGTCCTTGGGGCGGGTGGGCCCTGTTCCTGGATTTTTTTTACGAGTCAGCTGATGTTACTATAAGATGGGTCGCACGTATAAATTAAGCGAACGAATAAAAAATTAATTAATTAAATAGCAAATAAAAGGCTCAAAGAAAACGCTCCGTGTTGGCAGTTGATCTTGAATCGAAATTGATCCTTTATCGAACATTTGAGTGACGGTCTGACGGCCGAGGAGGGACAACAATATCTTATTGAGTTCACCTAGTCTGATAGAATATATCACGTGACTTTTTCTCATTTAATCCTTGGCAGCGCGTAGATATAAATTGACCATAAGTCTTCGAATGACTCTCTAATTGACGCAAAAAGGCCTAAAGACGTGCTAGCAGGCACCAGCTTACGCGCAATACATTGTACTGCGTGTGCAATGTCAATGGAGGGTTACAGGCCTGCGATGCTGGACAGAAGTCAATTGAAGTTCGGATTTGATCGTTTTGCGTCGATCGCGAATTAACCCAACGGTCGTGAAAAATTTTTCTCTCAAATATTTGAAATCGTATTTTAATCTTAATCCAAGTTGTATAGGGAAGTGTCTCCGAAAAATTTTTTCGGTGTCCAATCGTCAATGTCATTCATGTGGGGAAAAAAGAAAGTATTCTGGTTAAAGCTTGATATTGATGTTTTCATAAAGAATCCCAAGGACCCTCGGAGGCAGTCGATCTTCGACCTGCCCGGGAGGTGGATGAACACGATGCACCTGGCGCGGAACACCCACCTGGTGGCGGAGGCACTAGCGCACTATCTCTTCAACCTGTCGGGGTCGGAGCTGCTTTTTCCACAGGGGAAGGTGAGGTTCAGGGTCGAGGGGTGGAAAGGGGGCAGGGGGTAAAGGGGTTTGGTTTTTGTCGGGTAGGAGTCGATCAAGAAGCATTTGGAGGCGTGGATCGGGTTTTTGGGGTCGGAGCCGAGGTCGTCGCAGTTGCTGCTCGGGCAGAGCAATCCCGTCGTGGAAGCTCTCGCCACTTCCATGAAGAGGTTCCAATTTTTATTTTTCGTGAATTAGTTAATTTAAATTTGGCTAATGGCAGATTGAAGTATGATGATTTTTTTTTTGTACACTCAAGGTATCTTGGTGAAGTGAAAGTGATTTATGCTAAATCGGACAAGAGGGATCCAGAATTCCTTCTGTATGATACGACCCATACCACAATGCACGCATACGTGTGAGTATTTTATATAATATGTGTATTATTCTCATGTGATAAGTTTATTTTGGCTCTCGGGACGTTCCAGGGTGAAGCCGGCGATCTTCGACCTCTTCCTCAGTGCAATGATAGCCGCCTACTTTGCGGCTGTGGTCCTAGTCATCAAGGTGGGTTAATTGCCGAACCACATAATTTTAAAAAGTTTGAAAAGTATTGTTTCTCCCAACGAAATACTCTATTTTTCTCGGTGCAGCATTTTCCCGCCTTCTTCAGTCTGCTGCAGCGTTCCCTGTCTCTACCCAAGCTGAAGGGAAACTGAAGGCGGTGCAGAAGGCGGTGCAGTTGGGTGTGCAACCTAGGGAATGAGTCCCCCCAAAAAAAGAATACTCCGTGTTGCTGTAATAAATCACCCCATATTCTCCCTACCGGTATTCCAAACCCTCCATGTCCTTCGTTGACCTTTCTTCGCTCGTCAACTACTTTTTGCAGATGGAAACGTTTCGTACTTGTTTACTCAATGGTAAAATAAAGTTTCCTGTTTTACCAACGTGAAATAAGTATTATTGTATTCGTAGCGATGAAAATTTTGTTTCAATTAAGGATGTTTTGGCAAGGTGTCGTTGCCAATCCGCTGAAGTTTAGAAAAACCGTTTCCCGTCTCCGTGCAGCAGGGCAGATGGAAACCTGCTCGCATTTGCCACCGTGCAAACGAGGAGTCCGACACCTGAGAGAAACACCGTCGAATCGGAGACAGAAACATTGTTGCGTCAAAAATGTCAAATCACACAAACGAACAGCGTTGACCCGAGTCAAACCCGCGAAACAAACAGTCAAGCGGCAGCCAATCGGCTGCCAATTGGCCGACCCCATCAGAGCACCTGCTGGCACGTGAGCGGCGCAGTAGCCTGCCTCCTGAGCCGCGTGTTGCCCGTGCCGTACTTGAGTATGAGGTCGCGGTACTGCCTCGGGTAGAGGCGCTGCATCTCGGCCATGATGAACTTGGTCTTGTGGAGGTCGTCGGCGCTGCAGAAGGAGCAGCGGCTCCGACCCATCGCCGCAGGGATCGAGGCTGCAAGTGCAAAACAATTTGTAAACATCTTCATATATAACATATCTACTTAGGTATTGGAAGGGGGGGCAGTTATGATGTCCTCTTCCCATAAAAAGTGGATATTGTACTTGTACGTGCTCATGGTGACCTTGAGAATGGGATTTCTTAAGGGGAGGGGGAAAAAAACAGACATTACTGAGGATTCTTAGAAAAGGCCTTATCGCTGGAGAGGGTGTCCTTGTTAGAAGACAAAAGCTCGTCAGCCCCTCATACGCATTATGGGGACCCTCGCATGAACTGTTTTTATATTCCCTCGAGTGGATTCCCCCTGCGTCGGCATTCGACCGTTTTCTTAAAGTTATCTTGACGTTGGATGAAATGAAAATTTCCGAATTGGAGAACACTTATTTTCGCAAAAGATAATTTTTTTGTTACCTCCCTAGTGTTTTAGGTTTCATTTGGTGATTGACGCCTCAGATTCCGCATGCGTGACGCCGCCGGCCCGGTGAGTTCTCATTTTTCTTCTTCGGTCTTGGAGTGGCTTAAATAAATAGTAAATAAACGATTCGAATGGATGTTACGATCGGTGCGAGACGCGCGGTTCGCTGCGAAAATCAACCTCGGTTCGCTTTAACCTTTTATTTTTTCTATTGCACCGTTGTTACATCATTCGAAAGCGAATGGAATGGACGCAAGAAAGTGAGAGTAGTCGCCACCAGATGTCTCTGAACGTTGGAACGGTTACGTGCGTGATGACACGCGTTGCGAGCGGAAGAGGCGTGGACGATGAGTCGGGAAGAGAAAGGGGGCAATCGCGGAGGCCCTGACCCTGTCCGTGAGGGAGAGGGGGCGGGCCGAGATGAGACGGGGACGTTAAGAGAAAGTCGCGGCTTTGCTCTGCTTGTACCCTTTTTTTTTACATCTTCGTCTGACCTTCGCTTGACTCGGTGCGACTAGATTCTCGGTCCTTCCCGTCGAGGGCAAGAATGATTCTTTCGAGATTATAAGTCTGGGGGGGGCAGAGGGGGAGAAATATTACGAAATATAAACAGGAAGTTCTGATACGGAAAAGCTATAAAGCCCACGTTGAAATCCGTCGCGCTCTAATTTACGTGCGAACAAAACTTGCATGCGTGACACTTCGCAGAAATCGCTTCCTAGATGGCATCGATCACGCGCACGTGAAGTTTTTCTTTCAAGGGGAATCTGGAACGCGTGACCACACGTGGTACGTGACGAAGCCCATTGTGGTGACGTCACGCCTTTGGTGTGGGGGATCGGGAGCTGAGAAAGGGGGCAGCTCCGAAAATACCGAAGGAGCAGGCGACGCGCGTGACGTCATGCGCGCGTCGTTCCGGAAGGTGGTCGGGGTCAACGACCTCTGGCCTCTGCCCTCCTGCGAGGAAAGAGAAAGCGGAGGGGAGGCGGGGCCCGCGCGTGATGCGGATTGCGTTGGTGCGTGGGTGATTCTGCCAAAGTCTGTCGGAGGGGGGATTTGCGGTTTTCCTGGAAGGCTTGTCACCCGATTTCTTTTTACGGTGAAATCGAACGCGGTGAGGGGAAAACCACCGAGCCTTCTCCGAACCCCTTGGCGGCCGATGCCTGTTCGATTAGACCTACTGTGAATGTCAAGATCTGGGCGAAGGAACCAGATTCGTGCATGATTCATGAGCCTCCAGCGACCTAGAATTTACGAATGTCCCGGCGGAACCGAAATTTTCCTCGTTCGGCGGCGAAGCGGGGGGGGGGGGGGGGGGGGGGGGGGGAGCATCCGGGCAGTTCCGACTTTCGCGTCTTGCCGCGTTGTCGTTGGAGATACACAAACGAAATTCGTCGTCTTCTATGCCCGGTCCTGGAGCTGCGTCACTGCCAAATTTCACCGTAAAACCCACCTTACTTTCGGAATTATTGGATGTGGCAAATCGTTCAAAAGCCAGACTTCTATTGGTGTGGGAGAATTCTCACGAGGGATGAAGGTGAACGCTGCACGGCCCCAGCTCTGACGGCAAAGATCTGTAATTACTTGTCGTATAGCACAAGGATCCTAATGGAGGCTAAATGCATATGTAGTTTCATCGTGGGCTGGTGAATGGCTGATCCCGGAAAGTGAAACTTTCAGCTCGATGCTTTCTTTTTCCCCCCATCTGGTTTCCGGGGAAATGTCAGGGTCACGAATGCTGACATTTATCGGTGGCGAAGCGTATGCAACGACGGGCTCATGGGTTAGAATCGAGAAAAATAAACGACGATCGACGTTCGGTTTAACGTCACTGTCACCAATTTTGGCGCCTGTAACGCGAGTGGAGCTGGATCGAATTTCGCAGTGAATATGAAATTTCCGAAGTTCAAAATTGACGAAATAGATGTGTAACTTACATTGGCATACTTTGTCTCCTCGATTTCTGTACCTGTCCTTTGCGCTGTCGATTTCAGGGAAATGATTCACCTCTGACGGTGGCTACAAACGTTTAGCTGCGTTTAAAACCTGGAGAATCGCTGCGGTATGCTACTTGGCGCAGAGTCGAGGATTCATAAGGATTTTTGTACAAATTATAGATGGGCGGGTGGCGGTCGCAAGAGATGGGCTATAACGGGAATTTCGTCTACTATACGCATACGGGGAGGAATTGTTCTCGGGAAAGAGCCGGTGGTCAAAGAGGGTCGACGGTGACATGAAGGAACGGTAACACACCTCGCAGGAACTGAGAGACAGGATTGCAGGCTTGGCGGGACCCGTTGGCGCACTGCACCTGCTTCTGGACGAACTCCGGGTCCTGGAGGTGCTGGCAGATCTTCTCGTAGGAGGGGAGGCGGGGGATGGGTCGCCGCTGACCGCCCACGCCCGCCGCCAGGCACGCGGCCACCAGCATCCACAGCACCTTCATTCTGGGAGAACTCTGGTGGAGGAGGATTTAATAGAGCCTCGAGCGTCGGAGGGGGCACGGGAGAGTGGTGGATTTCCACGGGGGTCAATTGGTGACTGACACGGCTGTACGCCGTTGTTGTGTTTTTCCTCGCTACCCCCCCCCCCCCCCCCCCCCCCCCCCCCCCGCCCCCCCCCCCCCCCCCCCCCCCCCCCCCCAAATTGGTGACTGCCACGGCTGTACGCCGTTGTTGTGTTTTTCCCCCCCCCCCCCCCCCCCCTCTCCTCCCGGTGGAGACCACTTTCTCCCGCTCACTTTCTCCCCATTCTTATCGAAACAATGGGACGGAGGGAGCCGTCTGGTCTCCCACGCCTCGGGTCGCCCGACCGCCCCTATCGATATCCTCAATCAAGGAAACCGATAATAGGGCCCATTCTTCCCTTTCGAATGGCTCGGGGCGGCCCGAATCCGAGCCGTCGTGTGACCCCGATCCCCCCCCTCCCCCCCCCCTCCCCCGCGCGTGTCGATTCAAATTCAGACCATGCTGTCACACTGCCGTCTTTATTTTTTTAATAAATGATTACAATTTTTTCGAGATGCCGCACCCAGGGACCTGGTCCTCGTAGTCACAGGCCGCATTTTCCGGGTTGAAGATGAGACCTTCGGGGCACTTGAATTCGGTGATGATCCATTCCCCGTTGGGGCCCAGCTGACAGTACACGTAATCCCCGCTGCAGGGCGCCGATGGGTGGAATCCCTCCGACGGACACCAGGCCGCTTCGGTCGGATGCGGCTGCAAGGATGGGGGCCATCACTCTCACGAGCAATCACTTCAGAGCAATCCCATCCATTTCTTTCGCGATGGCCCCTAGCTGTTTTTTCTTCTTCCGTATTCTTTTCGGCTTCAGATTTTTGTTACGTAAGAGTTCCCAGAAATTCTTTAATTTAATTGACTTCCCTCTCTGCCCGTGTCGTGATGCAATATTGCGTCATGCGGCCACCACGTGATACCGATAACGCGTCACGATGCGTCACGATGCCGAGCCGGGAGGCATGGGAGCAAAAGCCTGTCATGTCGTTCTCCAGAGATTTTAAATTATTTCGGTTTATCTCTCCAATTTTTAGGGGAAATTTTTTTTGCGATGTTTTGGTCTGTGAATAAATGCAAATACGCCAATTTTTATAGTCCCGGAACGAACTGTTCATGAGTTATGCCTGGTAATTTAGGGTCATATGGCATCTGGTTATTTCGAGTCAATTGTCATATTTTGACCTGACATTTGTCTCGAAATAATTTCTTTTTCTTAAAAATTTCCTAGCGCATAAGAAATATTTCTGAGGTTTTTTTTTTTTAGAATTTTAAAGGTCGTGTTTTTGTTCCTAAAGATATTTGATTGCGATGACCATTCATCAGTCGAAGCGGCTGAATCCACAGCCTGAAAGACTGTTAACACTCAATCTAAATTGCTCAAAACTACCGATGAAAATTTCCCACATTCTACTCGGTGATCAATACAATACCATGTTAACTAATTATGTTAATTAATTAATTAGGTTAGCGTATTATTATATACGGCGTAGGGTTTAGTGGATTTCGGGGGGATTTCGAATGTCACTACACCCTCGAAAATTGCCCTCCCCACGGCTCGTCCCGCCGAGGGCAATTCTCCTTTCGTTGGTGTTGGATTATTTAAGGCTGGAGAACGCCGCAAGGGAGAAACCGTCGACGGTGTTAGTGCTGGGCTTAAATTCAGGCGTGAGCGACATTTTCTAGCGGAAGGGGGCGAGGTACGATGCGTCGAGACCCGCGAAAGTCCGAGCTCGCGTTGTGCTGGTGTCGCCAATCTGTGGTCGAGGCGCGAAGCGGAGTCTTCGAGTCTTATCGACGTTGAGGCAGCCCAACCCAGCGCCTAGCTCCGCTACCCGGAATGCACCTTTTCGAAGAAATGGCATCTTGGGTCTGTGGACGGACATCGGACTTTCTTCGCAGGGGGTTTGGTAAAATTTGAATTCCCAAGGAAGATTGAAATGTATCAGTATCGCTGATCGGGGGGTGCCCAAGGGGAGGAGGGGGGGGGGATTCTAACCCCTAAACACCCCCCCCCCTTTCCCTGCGTCACTGGTGCTCGCCAATAAAGGGAAATGCATTTCTGGAAGGCAATGAAGCTGCGATTACATTGGCGATGGCAAAGACTTCGACAAATTTTGGGGATGGCATGCGTCCGATGAACAAAGAGTGCTACAGAATTCAACGCGAAACAGGGCGTAGAAGCACGGAAATGTCGGCCGTCAGTTCCAGATCCGCCAGGATCTTCATAAACAGGGTGTTCCATTCGTCACTATACCATTTCAAACTGCAACAACCAGGTCACTTTTCTTAGCATTGATGAAAATAACGTTCTTTTGACTTTTTTTTTCTTCACGATAACGACTTAGAATCAGACTCAAACAGAAATCGCTTGAAAAGCATGTCACGTTCTTAGGGCGATTTACGATTTTACCTGGTCGAATCCTCTTTTGCAAAAATTCCGAAACTGCATATTTTTCTCTCCTAATTCCAGATAGTCCTGAGAAACAGAAAAAATTTTCGTTTAATTTGCTTTCGCTGTCATGATAAAAATGTACTGATATCGGCGAAGGGCATTTTGAGACACTTTCAGACTCCAGAATTACCTCCAGTTTTGACAAGGATAATTCCAAATGACATGCAATCGTCCAGTTAATGTTACTTCTTTTGTGTACCAAATGTTTAGCAGATGTGAATTTTCGAAATGGTATAACGACTTATGGGACACCCTGTATTCCCAGCCGGGACGTGGTTTCTCAACCCGCCGACTGCGCACGATGCAGGTGGCGCACCAGCACGCGTCGTGGAAATTCCAAGTCCTCCGAAATTCAGCTGTATCCCGCTTCGAGTAGGACTCCTTGCTTTCAACACTACCACGACAGCCTGTACAACTTATATGATGAGCTTATATGTAATAGAACAATGTATGTAATCAAACAAATTTATGCATAGGATTTCAGAGGCTGACGAGTTCGAGATTAAGGTCTTTTTCCCCCCGTAATTTCAGCGCGGGTCAGCATGTCCATTCCATGTATGACTGGGGAATGAGGTGCGTGTGCTCCCGGATTGTGGGGAATGCGAGGCACACAAAGCGAAGTATAATTATATATAAGTACATTTATAAAGTGAAAGCCGATATAATTAATAAAAGTTAATTATGCGGACATATGAAGGAACCCCTCCCCCCCAAAAAAAAACTTCATATTAAGTTCGTATTGCTTGGTTTTACATTGGTGTGTAGGAGCAGGTACGCGGTAGGAAGGGTGCAGTCAATCGGAGAGCAAGGGGTTTTCCCCAACCTGTTATGCAATATTCCCATTTTTCGTTACATCATCTGTACTCTGTCATCACTGGTTCAAGCTTAATACCGTAACGCACGTCGTACGCAACAATCGGCAACGCTGCGACTGATACACGGGAAAACCCTCACCCAGAGTGCATTTTCCATTATATGACTCAGGGAGTGAACTATGAACAAAAACGTGATTTCATCGGTTGCTTTTAAAGGTATTTTCAGTTGTTTCGACCGAGGAATGGCCATCGCGATTAAATGTCTTCCTGAAAGCCAAAATTGGAGTTGCATTTATATTCGTACGCACGCTGAATTTATCTGAAAACGAATTCAAGCTCAAAGGTTGCTGCCAAGATGCCGCGAGGCAAAGACTTGTATCTCAAAGACAGTTCGTCTCGGGAGTGCAAAAATCAGCACATTTTCATTTCTTCACGGACCGAGCCGGCTCGCCGAAATCGGAGGAGTAACTCTTTTGAGGCTGAGTTCATTTGACATAGTTGAAATCGTTGGTACCAAACGGCACCTGATAAACTGGATTTTTAAAAATCTTGAGAGCTGGTAAGAGGCAGGTTCAACCAGGAATAGTGTCTGATTTAGTCCATGCCATACCTTTTTGTCCCACTTTTGAGCGAATATAGAAAGTGGGAATTTTAAAGGAATTATTCATGATTGAAAAATAATTGATTAATGAATCGAGGCTTCAGAACATCGTAAAATGAGACCCTGCCATTCATTTATTGGATTCGACGCCAAGAACTTCTGCTCAGTTTGACCTTGGCGGGGCAGAATTTTTTCTTAGTACTTATCCTAGTACTTAGTACTTTCTCAAGTACTTATCATTGCAAGAAGTCGGTTGAACTGACGGTTGTGGTCGGCGGGGTGGGGACCCCGAGCCGAGAGGAGGCATAGCGGATCAAGGGATTCTTGTCCCCGGACCCACTGCATTTGCCCCGGAAGTCGTCCGTCTCGATGGACCAGACCATGCCTCCGCCCAGCTGTCGTTCTTCCAGGAAGTCCAGCTGGGAAGAGGAGGGGAAGGGTTCAAACCGGCCTTGAAAGAGGATGGGGAAGGGGGGGTTACCTTGTATTTGAAGGACTCGAGGTCGTCGTAGCTCATCCATTGATCTTCTTTGTAGACCACGTATGGGGCCTTGATGGACTCGACCCAGACCCTTTGGAAGTCGTCCCCTAGATCGTCCTGCATCTCGCAGATCTACCCCAATCCCCCCCAATCGTCTCCGTTACGAATCGCACCCCAACCGCCAACAGGACCGAGAAAGGGACTCGAGAGACCTCGTTGTAGCCGAGGGTGCCCGGTATCCGTGTGTAGGGCCCTGCATCGCTGGGGGCGAAGGAGTCGGAGTAGATGTCCGTCCCCTCGCTCGGGTCGTAGACGGTGAAGCCCCTGCCGTAGAGGGGCATCCCCATGTTGATGAATTCCTTGTGCACGCCCAGTCCCAGCCAGAAGTCCACCGTGGCTTCCTAACGCGAAGATGTAGGACATTTTTGTCCTGCATCTCCCGAGTGTAAAAGCCCCCATAAGAGGCAGGAACTCTCAACTTTCAACTCACAACGTTGAAGTAGGTGAAATTCCCCTCGTCCATCGGGTGTCCGTAGAGCGGTGCGTTGTGATGAGTGAAGTTCTCCCATGCCCCGTGGTAGTCGTAGGTCATCACGTTCAGGAAATCCATCGACCTGCACCCAAAGAGACGTTACCGGACCCATCCCCTCTCGTGCCCCCATCGAAGTCGGTGCAAACGAGACGAGGCCGCAGCTTGCACGAGTCACGACGCGAAACGACACGCAAGGCAGCGACCACCCAGCTTCCGTCACGTGACCATCCAGCTTCTGTCACGTGACCCCGCTTCGGCGCGCGCAGCCTTTCGCCCTCGCGCACAGCATCTTCTCATTTTATGCCAATATATACATTTTTGTAATTAATTCAAATATAAAATCAAATAATTATTATACAATTATATAATTACCATACATATGTTATATTCAATATATAATATATGTGTGGGTGGTCGAACGTCGAACACTAATACGTTGAGGATTGCGGCTCCATGAGCCACAATCCTCAAAAATCGTCGGATTCGGATTGCCTGTACAGCCTTCTACGCCCTTTTTTCTGCCAGTCTCGACCTGCCTGCGTCGACTCGAGAACGCGAAAAAGAACTTCACTCCAAGAGAGCCTGAATGTCGTAGGAATCCTCGATGGTGAATTTGTTGGGGGAGACAGCCGTGGTGAGGAGGAGGTCGGTATCGTCGAAGGCGATTCGCATCTCGCGCACCAGGGCGGCGTAGTTCAACTGTTGGGAAGGTGAAGGTCTTTAGTTTCGGGGGTCCTTTAACTAGGAGTGAAATGAGGGCCTTTAGTTGGAGGGGGGGGGGGGGAACGAAGGCTTTTAGTTTCGGTGTAATTTATTACTGGATTGAATCCTCCGGCCAGTTTCAGAAACGAAACTCATTAAAATTAATTTTAAAATGCCGAAGGCGACGTGGATCGAGGGCAACGTGGAACGCAACGCGGAACGAGGCGATACCCTATCCTCGTCGCTCCCGCCTCGCATGGAAGGGTACTCCCAGTCCAGGTCCAGTCCGTCGAAGTCGTACAGGAGGACGAACTCCTTGCAGCTCTGCACGAATCCGGCCCTCAACTCCGGGTCGGCTGCCATCTGGGCATTTAAAATAAGTATTTTCATATCGAGTCGAATTTATATAATCGAGAGGAGAAAATACGGGAAAAGACTGACGAATGAATACTTCTCCGACCCCTCGTTCCAACCTCCGACGGCCAGGATCGTCTTCAGATTCGGGTTCAGCAGCCTCAGGTCGTTGAACCGCTTGTAGCCCTCTAAACGAAAAACCACCGACCGGTCGTCGTGCCGGTCACATCCAGTCCAGTCAAACCCAGTCCAGTCACGACCAGTCCGGTCACACCCAGCTTACCCAGGTCGATGTCGAACCACGGGTCGTAGGCCATGATGGTGTAGGTCTCGTTGTTGAGCGCCGCGAAGCCGAAGACGATGTGGGTGCAGAGGTAGGGGTCGATGTCGCCGATGTCGTACTTGCCATCGCCGGGGCGGTAGTAGGCCCAGCTGCCGTAGTAGCAGACGAAGCGCTTCACGAACTCCTGCTTCCCTGGGCATTTTTACATTCGGGATTTTATGGAATTATTTTATCTCGTCGAAGCTCGTTGACGTTGGTGCGGGTGGGGGTGGGGGGCAGGGTAGGGGTTTTGCGGCGGTCGATCGACTCGGGATCGAAAAGTTGGAATTGGTTCCTGATTGTGAATAAGGGAAACATTTATAAAGTAAATTTTCTTGGGCACCCATTCCCGAGATACTCCAGGCCAAAAGGGAGAATAATCCTGCTCTGGAGTTGCTGCAACGTGTCGAAAATGGTTACACCCAGATAAGAATCACAATATGTGATATTAATCTTTTGCCTGCGAAAGTGCACGGGGGCGACATTCCACGCGTGATTTTCGTGTCTGATAACCCGTATCTGCCGCGGCCTTTAAAGGGAAGGCAAGGTCAACTCCCGGTTTCACTATCCCTGGTTGAGACGGATGCGTGCCCGGAAGTGCCACTTGAACGTTTTTGACCTCGTGGCTTTGATTTAGTAGGAAGAATTCCAAATAGTAAATGCAGGGAATCGGATTCACTGCAATTTCTATTTCTATTTCGGACGAGCGAAATCGATCTGGAAAAAAAAATGGCACGGCCCTGTATCATGTAATTGGGTAGACCATCTTCGGAAGCTGTTCGTTCGGATGCTTTTTTTTTTAAAGCTGTATGACTTATTTTGTGTATTTGATACCATCTGCTGCATGAGATTCTTCATGAGAGATTTCTGAATCCACGAGGGACTCTAGTTTCTATTCACTCCAGATCATTTTCGGTGTCCGTCTCGCACAGGGTGGGAGAGTGAAGCCGGGAGTTATAGTCCATCCGGTCCAACTTTGCCGGTTTCATCTCACGGTAGCTCATTAATTTTGTGCTGTCATCACCTGTGAAAACGTCGGAAAGGGGCTCGAGGCCATCAGAAAATTGCCAGGAAGTAGGCAATTTTCCTGGCAATTTTCAATTGGCATGTCGAAAGGAAATCACCCTCGAGGGGGGGGACGTGTGGCGTTCGACGACTTCCTTGAGGATTAAAAGTGTGGCAAGGTTGGACCGGATGGACTATAGCCCTGCCTCAACCCTTTACCTCAACCCTTTTAAAGGGTCGAGGCAGACGTGGTTGTCGCGAAATGGACGATCGGAAAGTCGCCCCTGTGCCCTCTCGCCCCCGCCTATCGAGATGAGATAAAAGGGAAAATGTTGCAACCGTCTATCAATTAAGTCTCTGGGGCGAAAGTGGAAGACACCGTGAAAATTCCATCACGCCCGTATTCATCCCCAAAAGAATTGCACACGCCTTGCACTCGACTCCACTCAATACGCATTGTTATGAGCTAACTTTGTGGGTTTCCCCATGGAGTCAACCAGGAAGCCGATCCTCCACAACATCCTCCGAGTCAGAGTTTCCAGGGGATTCATCGGACCGGAACAATCTGGACTCTTTAGGCCAATCTGGACTAATTGGACTTATTATCAGGTTTTGACTCGCTCTAGCGGCTACTTTGGCGCCATCTCGGATCGGTTGCGTGAACCATTGTTTGTTTCAGCCACCGCCAGATGGCAGCTGCGCTGTCCCGATCGAGGGTCGCCCGTCCAGCGTTGCTTTGAGCGCTTCCAAAAAGGACATTTCAGCGTTACGCCAACGTTCATTCTGTGTCATGTAAGAACCCTGTTACACTGAAATAACACATTTCCAACGTTGCACTGACGCTGTGTTGGCTGGGCAGACGTTGCCGACCGTTTATCGCGATATCGCCAATACTGTAGTCATGAAGTAATTGGTGTTGATGGATAGATCTCAGTCCGCTGAGGCGAGACATGTGCACGAGCAATCAATTGATAGTTAATTAATTAGTAGCACGATTAATGGTCGATTTCATTCCGTTTCCGAGGTGTCAGTGCCGAGTGATTTAAGGGGGCAATTGCCAATTAATAGGTAATAAGGCCTGTGGTACGCAGCTGTTATCGTTAAAAAATATGTTGTGGATCCAGCCGGAAAGATAATGCGCCTAGACACTCGAGATTAAACGGAGTTTTGAGAGTGCAATGACGTTTTAAACTTTTTATAATGTTCTATTAGTGTTACTTAATAGCTTTTTCCCGCATAACTTGATGAATATTGATTTCCGTGAGAAGTGTCCGAAGGCTTTTGCGTCCAGCGTCGGAAGAGCTTTCAAATGGCATGCCGCTCAATGGTGGCCCCCGTTTGTCCGGGTCCGGAACGAAATGCCGGAAAAAAAAATGCCGACAGCCGAATGCAACAAATGCGCGGAGCAGCGATGGATAAAAATGTTGAAGAAGGGAAATGTGGGATCCCTCAGTTCGCCGAACGGTGAATACACCGACGGTAACCTTCTCTCTAAAACCCTCGCTTTCGTCCCAGCACCAAAATGCTGTCGCCTCTTTCGAGTGTCATGCCAGCAGGAGCGATGCTTCTGCGAATATTCCGCGAGTGTTCTCGACTTGAGGCGATCGCGAGTGTGTCCGCCCCTCCAAGAAATGGAATATCGAAGGGACAAGCGCGTGCATGAGACTATGTAACATCCTGCTTGAGCTTCGGCATTTTGTATTTCTTCATTTTTGCTCTATGCATTTCAAGCGTTCGTGTAATTAGGCATAACGGAATTTGGCGAACCGAGATTCGGCATTTCGTCGCACACCGCGTTTGCTTCGGGGGGAAAAAGTTTGCGTTGGGGGGGATTCAAAGGGTGATGCCTGGGATGTTTCTCTCGAAGGCCGGGCGCGTTGGGGGGCATTCAGAGAGTGATGCCTGGAATGTTTCTTTCTTTTCTGTTGCGCACGAAAGACTGGGCGGAATTCTTTAGATTTATTTTAATGTATGTTTTCGGTGTTGGAGTGGATTCGGCGATTTTTCGAATTGGAGCACCTAATTGCTCAAAATCCGCGAGAAATGCAGGAAAACTTCCGTTTCTGTGCATTCTCTTTCCAAAACTGCATGCAGAATCGTTTCGGCATTGGCGAACTGCTAGTAGTAGTAGTAGCTGCTTATAAATATAAACTTATAAATGAAATATATATGTCGTAGGGTTTTGTGGAATTCAGGGGGATTCCGAATCTCCCTAGGGAGAGACAGGATTCCACTAAACCCGCGGGTTTAGCGAAATCCTCTCGAAAACCTCCATTATGTCACCTCCCCCTAGGGGGAT